GCTTACCGCAGGTATCCACTGCCAACCAGAGAAACCTAGAAACTCAACATTAGAATGGGATACAGTCTACAGGATTGGTTATCACTCCAAGTATCCTCCAAGGAAATGACGAATGACATGCCAATGCATAGAGAGCAGTGCGAGTGGAGTATCAACCATGAGGAAACAGAGTCTGGTCTCAAGATAGGCCTCCAACCAAGTGTCCAGCCCTGGGCATGCTATAACAACGCATGCGCATTGTGAGGGATCATGTTCCGAGGTTCTAACAGTACTGTATCAGGTTGTATCAATGTGTAGGATGTAGAAATGTATAAATACTGTAGTGTAGATGTAGAATACAAGTTTTGAGCCCATGGTGTAATAGTGCAAAGCTTTTCAGCCACATGCTCTAGCACTTAGAGTAGCTAGGAACTTCAAGAGAGAATACAACCCATATCACATATCTATTGTGTGAATTAAGTTGCGCGCTTAGATAAGAAAATAGCGCGGCACTCCGTGCAGAGAGTCTGGTTTCGGTTTGACTTGCGCTCTGTGAGAGAATAAGAGTACGGTGTCTTGAAAGTCACCCTTTCGAGTTCTTGAGGGCATTTGTGTGATGCGAGGCATTACAGGTGGCAGAGGTTCAAACCCTTTGGCTTGATTAGTGCTCGCTCTTCTGTGTTATTTCCGCAGGTTGGCAAAGGTTCAAACCCTTTGGCTTGTCGGACGGGGTTTCTCTGGATTGTATAGGTTCAAATCCTGTGAATCTACGATCAGTTGGAAGCTCGAGCACATAGGTTCAAACCCTGTGGCTCTTGTGGAAGTTTCGGAGTTTTGTGTCAGTGTAGACACTTCTCCATGTGTTTGCAAAGGTTTTGGTTTAGCGTGCGATGCACAAGGTTTATTAGTGTGTTGAGTTTAATAGGAATTGGTTTCTGCTTCGAGCGCAGTCGTTTAAGTGGTGTTTAGGGTGTTATTGATTGTGTGCAGTGGTTATTAGAGTCCCGAGCGACTGCTAGAAAGTTGTGGAGACATTTGACGAAGTTGTATTGTGTTATACACCCTTGCCTTGAGGCCCAGCGACGGAAGTTGCACCCTCTTGTTCTTGAGAAAAGCCTTTGGACTTAGAAAAGTCTAGATATTATATGAGCCCTATTGCTGCGCATGTATCTTAGAGATATTGAGAATTCAATTGTATTGGTTCACTACTTTCATTGCATTAGAATCCCCCCACAAACTTGAGCATGTTTGTGTGTGTAGTGTTGGGTGTGGGTGTGATCAGTGTCTTCGACGCTGTTGCATTTCTAGCTCTGTGCACTCAGACGCCTCTTCACCAGGCTGGATTACATGGAACACTATCAACCGGTGATGAATGGCAAAACACGCTGAGATGATGCCCTCAATTCCAGCCAGTTGATGGGCACTTTCACTGTCAATCTTGACGTAGCTGAGCAGCATATCAGAGCTGGAATTCCTGTGTATCTCGTTTGACCTGTGGATCAATTCAGCAATCAGGTCATTCTCAAGGCAGAGGAGCCTGTCGTTTTCCCTCTTAACACTTCTCTTCCTTCCCCTCCGTTTCCTGTCGTTTACAAGGGGGATCCATCCCATCCTCAGAAATTCTATGCAATACACCAATTCATACAGATTTTCAATACTTATTGAAACCCCTTCAACTTTGTCACCATCTCCCAACCTTCCATTGTACATGCTGAGCGCACTCAAGCTGCGGCTTCCAGTTCTTCATCCATTTTCGTCGCAACAGGCCATCCGATGCACAATCAGAGGGGAAAGGCGAGAGCACTTGGTCCTCTTGCTAGTGCTCAGGCATCCCGAAAGAAAAAACGTAAGCTATCAGTATGCCATGTCTCTCATGTCCTAATCATAAGCCCTTTGTTTAGCTCCCAGCAATCAACAACGGGACAAGTTTACGAACCTAGTTGGAACCTACGCTCCTTCTCTAATACCTGCCTGGGCAGATGCAATTGCCAAGATTGACAAATTCTCCGAGTGATCCCAAGAACACGAGGAACATAGTAGGCTCGCTCAATGCCAAAGCAATAAAGAAGGCCCAATTGCACCAAGCCATGTTAATGGCTATGTCTTTCCAGATCCTGCCTTGCTTGTGTATGCCTCTGCCACCCAGCAGAGCTCGTTCTTTCATCAGTGGGAGCATTGTCGAGATGCTCTCATATACCATGTTACATCGTTGTCTTCAAATGCCAAACTGCTTCGGCCGCAACTCTGGTGTGAACTACTTGCTATGGCCTTCAAGTCAGGGAATGCGCAGGGTACCAAGGTTCATGATCTCATGGCTCAAGTGTTGGGCTCTGCCATTGAAGCCCCTGGTTCAGGGACCACCATCCTACAAGCGCCTGCACCTGTCAGCAACGAACCAGTTGATATCGAGAGAGGAAAATATCTTGTATGGGAGCTTTGCGAACTCAACTTTCAACAAGAACTCCTTTTGCTTGATATGCATCTCACCCATCCAGATTCATCAGCAAAAGAAGAAGATGTCATCAATTTTCGACTTAAATGCCAAGAACAAATTATGGGTCTTTTCTTTGATGGCTCGTTGGTTCCGTCAACACCGACTTCAACCAACTGTCTTGCACTGCCTAGTTGGTCAGAACGATTTGAGGCATTGAAGTCATTCAGAGACATGATGCGAACTTGAGAAATCCCTCTTTCCTTTGCATCAAAAGGCCATCTGGGTCCATTGGGATCTGAAGTAGCTTTGAAGACTGAGGGAGCCTTGGTGGCACATTATGCACAAACATTTTTCAATGTCTTTGGACGGCCGCCAGTACTTCCCCATCTATGACCATCAGGAGGAATGCCCTGACAATTCCAAGCTTTGGAGATGGTTGTACCCGACGATAAAAGTTTGCCTGGCATTGATATCTTTGATTTTTGTGATTTACAGTGTCGATAAGAATCAATTTTAATACAAGTGCCCTCCCCCCCTTCCCCATATGTGTGGTCTGCCAGGCATCAAGATGAACACCCAAAATTTTAAACCTAAGGTCGCCGAGTGCGCAGGAACTGCTCAGCGTGTGGTATAAATAAGCGCACACCATGGGAAACTAGGCCAACTACTCTTGTCTCTCTACTACGTTCTCACTCACCCTCTTCATCTCCATCGTCATGCGATATTTCTTCTTGCACAGGGGTCTTCAACAAGTGGATCCCTTTTTCGGCGACACTCAACAAATGAACAGGCATTCTTCGTCTTTATGTGACAATTATCCAGGGAGGGTGCTTCTCGAGGCAGAAACGAGATATGCAAACGTCCTCGCATGGAACGGCGTCCAAAAACTATCGATATTGTGAGTTATTCTATCTTTTTTGTCTTTTGAAGGGTTAACATTCATAGCTCCGGCTGGCACAGCTCCCACCAAAATCGTGGCAAGCACTACACACTACAAGGGTACAACCGAGAGGGATGGATGGTGGTAATGCTGGAGATGAAGGCAGGGAATGCGGGGGAGGTCTTTGCATATGGCCGTCATGCTCACAGGCAGTGGCTACACAATGCGTGTCGGAACGGGCATCTCTTGGCACCAAAACATGTTTTCAGAGCTAGGGAGCATGAAGAGGTACATTTTTGCTGCCTTCTCCCTTCGGGTATGACTGACAATCTTTGCAGGTGATTTAGACTCCAAGCATTGAAAATTTGTTCTATAAACTCATGTATGATACAGTCAGTAAGCTTGGGAAAATTGGGATTGAGTATCTTGTATATCAGTCACTGTGAGTAGGCTTCGCCAGATCTATTGCCCTCGGATGCTGAAAGTAGCAATAGCTCGACATATCAGATTTCAGGCTTGGATATGGATGGTATTGCAATTATTGTGAGCTTCCGATTCATTGACAATGTACTAACTCGATAATATATTAACAGGAAATCCCAGTCAAGGACTCGTTCATAGGATAATGGCAATATAGCTTCGGTATGTGTCTTCTCTGTGTCCGAGGATCGTTCAGTATCTGTGTGTCCTTCTTCCTTCTTACCAGCAACCCGAAATGGTGTGCCATCGAGATACATCCTTTTCACTAGAATATTATAACACACATGTAATCTGTAATATTAAGCAAATTTTGGGATAATAAATGAGCTATGTGTAGACCTCCACCATGGAACATATTATTATAAGGTCATTGTAATTTATTCTCAACAAAATACACAATAAGAACGATATTTGTGTTAAATGTCTACCTAATACCACTGGTGGAAGTCTTCCATATATATTAACTCAGTTCACCTACACTAATAAGACATGTTAGTATAATGGCTATATTGTCCTTGTAAAACATCTGATCACTGGTTTGATTCCAACTGATACCCATTCCATTATTTAATTGCTCATTGATTTCCGATTCTAGGCTTTGGTAATCCGGCGCTGGTGACCAGTCCCAATATTTTGCCATGATTTCCCCGACCATTGCAATCACATTATAATCCTTTGCCGATTCCAATCGGGCGTCTATTATAATGAGAACATAATACCTTAAAATGACAATTAAAAGTAATAAATAATATCAGTGGCTCTCAATTTAAGCTCATTCTTATGCCTCTTATGATCTTGATTCTAATGTCGCTTAAAATACTCTGATAACATCGTCATAATATCGTCATAATCGCTTAGTAATGCTGTCACAATGCTGTCTTAATGTCATTTTATTTGCTGACTCTTTTCTTTTGATACATTATCAGGCACTTAGGCCCATTTTGGCATTTTTTACATTATAATCCATCATAATGTCAAAAAAGGCAAATACAGTTTTTCCGACATTCTCGACAATGTCGAGTTGAGGCTCGCGAGTGGAAATTGGGAAGGCAGGCGCATTCACATGGTCAGCAGAATCTCAATACAAAACGGTATTTTAACCCCCATCTGAAGTTTTTGGGCGCAGGCTCAGCAGTGACTAACTTCGTGGCACGGGCGCATTGCGCACACTCACCAATACTAGATAAAACCTTAAAAAGCAAATATTGTGTTGTAATAGATAGTACGTATGCCGAAGGGGGAGTCGAACCCCTACCGCTTGCTTACAAGCTTAGCTTCTCCGGTGGAAGGCAAACATGATAACCGTTTCACCATCAGCATATCTTCAATGACTTCAACTCTGTGACAGACGGAAGCTTTGCGCCATAGATCTCGAGTAAATAACCATTCAAAGCACACACCCACGTGTATCTGCCTGCTGAAAGACTAGGCCCTGTAACAACACCCGCTCTCTTCTCTGCCAATACAAAATACGTATCGGTAGCGCACAGTAAAGGATACAAAACGTCGCCCAGCACTTGGTACAGGCTTCGATGATAGAAAATTTTCCCTACCTCGCTTCAGCCAAGAAGGCATTTACAGCGGGCAGGACTGAGATGTAGCTCATACGACAGTCTACAATGGTTATTTGGAGGTGAAGAAAAGAGCTAATGTGGCGTGTCTGGATGGCTAGGATAGCCGAATGGTACGTGCATCGATTCTGGATGAGATTGGTTGCTTGAAACAAAAAAGAGAAGATTGTCTATACCATTCAATATCACCAGGTATCCGACGCTGTGAATAGCAGTGGTGGATCTCGAATTTCCTGGCTGGTCCGTAATACAGTCAAGAACTCAAAGATTATACATGACTAGCCAAAATTGATATAATTATTATCTCACTTCGAGGGAAACTTCAAGTTTCAACGACTCATCCGCGTTTGGGTGACGACGATATATCCTTCATTCCCTGGATAAGCAGAAGAGGATTCTGATGCGTTCCTCTCGGTGGGAAGCACAGCTCCACTGCGAAAACGAAAGATCGGTGGTGGCGAGCTCATGCTTGAGCAGGAGTATTTGGGAACATAGTAGGTGACCAACCGATGGAATTCCGAGATAGATCTTTTCTCTTAGATGCCCATTGATGAGCACGCAAGCATCATGCGATTTGCTCGCCGCTTCTCTCCGCTTTATGCATGTCACCTACCAAATGATTGCCTTCGATACTGGAAGCGCTCAATACAATTCTCTAATTGAGTGTACCTGCGTTTCTATGGCTCTCTCCCGACGTTCATCTGAGAAATATTATCGACACTTGGCATACTCACTGCCGGGTCACAAGAGAGCGGGACAGTCCCGCTCTCTCGGAAACCTTCGCCACTCCGAAATCTGACATTCCTTGATGCTAATGTCGATGATAACTCGTCGCTGTGTACCTCGCCTCTCATCTCGCCTCAGCGCTCATGCGTGGCTGAACATCTCTCCCTCTGCTGTCGCTTATTGGGCTTACTCAAGGTTCGTAAGTTCCAATCGTTCCTCATAACTACATCCCCAGTGCATAGGTCGCTATCTCATTTCCTCTCCGGAAACCTCTCATCTCGAATTGGCGCATCACATCTATTACCATCTCTGACGCTGGTTTTTGTCCTACAGGCATCATTCATCACCCCACACCAATTGTAAAGCAAGAGACATCTCCTAGGAGTACTTTATGCTCACTTAACTGATTAGCGTCTTAGGTGTGAAGATACCGTCTTTACAGATGCAATGAGTGGCGCTGATTACTCTACCGATGGCTCCCAACCACTTCTTGTCTTCTCAGGTGGAGCTCGAAGAGCAATCTTTTTACCCTAAAGTGTGCAACCGCTTTTCATTTCGAATCTAGTTCAGGCGGCAACTTTCACGATCCTCTGATTTTTATCTTGCTATTGTTCGTCGGATGTCAAGACGTCTTGGCGACTCATTACATGAATCTAGACTTATGATTATTGATAGAGCCGATCCTGTTGCCTGGTATCCAGCAATCTGCGAGGATGTTTTGTCCCGAGCATGCGTGTACGATATGATTCGACGTACACCGGTTAAGAACTAATAATCTTTCACTAAGTTAGCCATAGTCACATCGCGGCAAAGCGACAGTCCTTCAAGATGACCAGGCAAAATCTCAGATTCTCGCTCTTATTCGGTTATCAGTCTCAAGGAAAGATTCATCAGAGTGGATCATACTTACCTAGGCTGAAGCTTCTATCGACCATACATACCTGTTCTGTACACCGTAAATGCCAAATTACTTAACTATGTCATCTGCAACAAGGATGGAGATGGTGTATGGAGATGCCACCTAACCTGCAAGGATATCAACTCTCTCGTTGCCCACATACGGGATTTGATCCAACATACCATATAAGAGCCTCTTAACACCCTTTTCCTGCATCATTTTTAGCCCTAGAAACGGGCCAGGAGAATTATGCGTTTGCATGGTGCGTTTATGCGTTCTTGTGCGTTTGGTACGTTTTTGCTTCGACTAGTATTGCCATTAACCTGTCGTAGAGGTATTGCGAGCCATCAAGAGTCATGTATATAGATCAGAACTCACTTTATAATGAAATTGATCCTTGTAGCATTCATTCATACCTCAGAAAATGCCCCAGATGTTGTTCTGTAAGGATAAGTCAGCACGTATCTTGAACGCATCTTGCAGGTCTTCACGCATGCGTTGGGACAAAAAACGCATGCGTTCAAGATAAAACGCATCCATGCATGTGACTGTGACCTATCTGTGACACGTGCGTTAGGTGCGTTAGCGTGCGTTCAACTGGAGTTCAAGCACACAATCATGTCCCCTAGTACTTCTGACTTATAGAAGATCATTTGCTATTACTTGTTACCGCTAGAATGGCCCAGAAAAACTGTCTATTTGAACAGGAACATCTTCTATATTTGACATCAGTACTCTAAGTTTTCTTATTTCGGGCATGCTTTGCTGGGTGTCCAATTGCTTTTGCACTACCATCCTGAAACAAATTATCTGCAATGTCAGGCTCTGATATTGCCTTATGCTTCCTTGATATCATCCAAGGCTTAGGTACTGGCCCAGTTGCTCACTCCTTCACATTGTCTTCTCTTGCTCGGAACCACTCCTGTCATTCATCTTCATGGAAATCTGGTCCCGGCTTTTCAATGTCAACAAATGTAAGGACTACATATAATTGTAAAGTGGTGGGAAGCTCCCCTCTAGTTCAGATTCTGTGCCTTCCCTCACACCTTTACCATTCTCTCCTCCAAATTTCCAAGGATACCAGAGCTGGCTTTATTTTCAGACTTCTCATAGATATAGGTACAAAGTAATTTCAACAAAAAACTGTATTTCAACAAAGTAATTATGACCTAGTAAGAAACAATAAGAATAGGAGTGAAAAACGATGTTAGCAAGAACATACAAAGGTCAATGTACGTTCCCCATTGGGAAGCTTCATTGTTGTAGGGCGAAAGTAGTCATATCAGCCGTGGCGATGTTTAGCAACAGAAATGACAAGAACAAGAAAAAAAATACAAGAAAACGCACCTCTGTCATGCACGCAAATGCATCAAATGCAGCCATGCATTTTTTCCCATGCATGCCCAATAACGCACATGCATGTTGATTTAACGCAAACGCACCGAACGCACGAATGCAAATGCAAACGCAAAATTCACCGTGCCCCCTAGAAACGAGCATCTTTTCATACATCAGCGAACAGGAAGGGAAGTGAGCTTGAGGGCTTACCTGAGAGGAGGCCGCAACAAACATGCTGTACAGAGAGCTACGGTGCTGGTGCTGGTGCTATGACAGCATCGACGTCACGTCGAAGAAGCCGTATATGGTAGAGGAGGATGACGCAAAATAAAGGGGGCTAACCCCAAACTGCATATATCGTGTTGTCCACTGTTCCCTTACCAAGCTCTTCCAGGACCATAACGTACATAAATAATATGCAAGGATGCCAATATCATCCCTTAGAATATTTGAGGTGGTAGCGGCAGAGTAACAATGACGGCGATGGTATTGATGGGCCTCGAAGTAAGTATCGACCACAGTCCTCACTAAACGAGTCTTTGCGGCAATCAAAGACATGGAAGATGCTGTCGCTGGCGCATACAAAGCAGGTGGAGGAAGTGAGTGAGAATGAGACGATGTCGATGACAGCAGCACTAGAGAGCATAACGACTGTGCCTAGAGTCGTTGATATTGGTCTGGCTGTTAGTGTGCTCGTTGCCGTGGCGGTTGAAGCCAAAAAAAAAAAGTCGACGTCGTTAGAGGAAGGGAAGGCAGGAGAAGGCAACGGCACGATGACATCGAAGATGACCGTAAAATTAGTCCCATTCGTTGCTTCCGGGCCGGATACTGTGGATACAGTCGCAACCAGTGCGCTTTCAGCCACAGAAGACCGATATTACTGTCAAATACGGCGGTGACACCACCCACCACCACAGCAGCCAGGACCTTTCCAGAATTATCCCTCACAGCTCTTGGTCGTAGTGGATGGGAGAAGGCTGTTCCCTGAGCACCGGTTGCCAAGGAAAGGTCAACATCATTGTGAGAGGCATAGATGGAAAATAGCGGGGGGGCAGCAGGAGCATGACTATGACGACGGGGACCACGATTGATATCCCAATCATAACCACCACTCTGGTTGATGAGGTACAAGCGGTGACGGTCGCACTGAATGCGATGAGTTGAAGATAGGCCGTCGTCATTGGCAGCAACATGGGGAAAAAGTTAGATTCGATGGAGGTGGCGGACCAAAGAGGTCGACAGGAATGGCAGGAATAGCCCTTGCATTGACTGCTTGTCTTTCAGTTGGAGTACGGAGAGTCGCCAGGGAGATATGGTGCACTCCGAATACTGTCGGGTCACCAGATCATACCGAACATATCTCCATGCTATGAGAGGTGTCTTAGAGCTGCAGAGTAGCACTGCTAAGTAACGCAAAATTGGCCTAAGTCTGGCAAGAAATCCTTAGCGATAAAACAAAGTAGCAAAAGTGGACACTCACCGGAGACCTAGATCACCACCCACGTCGAATAGAAGTCCTATGGCCTCGCAGACAATTCCCAATACGCGTCAGGGACCACCTGGTACGTTCCTAATATCCTCTTGACAATATTTGCGGTGCTTGAAGGTATGTAATCGAGCTGTAGTCGGGTGAGGTTGTCGACAGCAAGGTGTACGTGTGTCATTCCTATCTTATTGATGAATCCTGGAAAGGTCCGTAAACACAGAAGGGAGGTCACATTGACATTAGGGTAGTAAGAGGGTATCTGTGTGCTGTCTCCCTAATGGCTGAGTTAGTCTAGTACTTT